GATCACACCAACGGAATCGAAGTCTACATGGATGCTGCACATGCCGATCACGAAGATGGCAAATCTACAGAGGGATACGTCATATTCTACACCGGCGGCTCCATTACCTGGCCGCCTAACAAGCAAAAAAAGACTAGAGGCTCGCGCATCAGCACCAGACATGAGCAGCAAAGGAAGACATAGATGGTCCCGGGACTGACCCACTTGCCGGAGTTCTCAAGCGAGTGCTGGCCCTGGCGTCGTATCAGACCCACGATATCTAATCCTTACTGGCTGGATATGTTTGATTTGGATGTGGATCAATTTAGACCAGGAGAAAGTGAAGACTACAGCTTCTGGAAATATACGTTCTGCCCATAGCCCTGAGATAAGCTAGAAGATCACCAACGGCGAAGTAAAATCCATTCGTCGCTCAACTGACTTCGGTTTGGTCGGTCTTTGCCTTCAACATACGAGTTCGAGGATGATAACATACGATGGAAGAGACGAGCGGGTTAAAGAGAAATGATACAGTGTAATATTATATTTCCTATCATTATAAGGAATCACGACACCCGACTTCAGTTGAGCATCTTACTACTCGTGAACTTCAGTCCCATATCAGATACACGATATATATTCACTTCACATAGCTGGGATATATAAAATTCCTTCATCAGACGAAGATGGCAAACGTTGCCTCTCCTTTAGCATGCGCGCAACTCGTCTTGACCATACGGCAACAGGCCTTTCGTTCCACGACTAGGTTAACCAGCTACGTCTGTCTTGCTTAGTTCACTACTGCAATGCCTTTGGACTTGTGATTCTTCCTAGCTTTCATAGACAAGAATTCGCAGCCGAGCATAACGACCTTTTGTCTCGGTGTGGAATACTCAAGCGAAAACAGCAACTACTGCTGGTCTGAGATCTATCATTGCCAATCCTAACATCAGCAACATATCAAGGGAGAAGAGGTACACTCCCATCAACCGTGTGAAGAACAACGACGAGTGATTGAGAATCCAGCCGACAATCTACTACTTCCCCACCTATGCAGTTGGCTAGGTGTGAGCTTCTCCCAAATGAAAGAGAACAGATACTTTATTTATGAGATTCCTCTTGACTGCTTGGGTGGTTGCATGTGGAAGACCTAGAACCACAGCATGACGCCATGAACAGGTTATACGGAGAAAGAAAACCCAGCATAGATCTGAGAGTATAATGATCGGAACCGAGCAGAAGATGAAGCTCGGCTCCGTCGAAGACTCTCTGATTCAACTGCGGATTATGTCAGTGCACCAGACTAATGCCCATCAACAATGACTCGGAGCCATGGGTTTCCGGGACTCTAATCTGATAGTCCACGAAACAGATTTTATTGAGAACGGATAATGTGTGCTTTGTGCTTTGAAATAAACTCTACGAGGAATTACCAAGAAAAGGAATACATCGAAAAACAACCCCACTAGGGGGTGGTGATTGCATCGACGTAATCATTTGGGGGATTTCTTTAATGAACCATAAAATTCGTCATGAACAGTCCGGAAGGAAGCTGTTATTGTACACCAAGCTCGTTTGATCGTCTTTGTGGCAGTTGAATAGAGAACCGCCATGAGGAAGAGAATCTGCACCGCATCTCGAGTAATTTCCGTGTCTTTAAAGCACAAACAAAAATCAGATCTGAGATGTAGGAGAACATGAAACTGGTGCTTGAAATGCACGGTTCCAAGAGATTTCATTTGTGGAAATTCTGAGGGAGTTCAAGGAGGGACTCAAATGTCTGGTTGGGTTATTACTCAATCCTGAGATCACATAATCCTTCAAGATCCAAACTATGATTGCGTTCTTGATTTATTACACAATTTCAGTCTGTTGTGTACTTCTCAGAAACAAGGTAGTCTAAGTCGTCGCTAGTATCTAGCATAAATCACTAAGTACTACTTAACGATTGTTCAGTCCAGAAGATATCATCATCAATTACTATACAATAGTATCATCCACGACCCTAACATATATCTTTACAGTCAGTCCTAAGTAGTATTTAGTTAGCAGCTACTCATGTAACCCCAACACCTTAAACCTGCCATTCCACCAAATATACTCCCCCATCGGACGCATATAATTTTCTCAGTGTCAATGTTATAGTTAGTATCTTTTCATATTAATAATACCCACACTTATACAGCCCACCCCTCGTAGAACTTCCTCGTTAAGTAACCGGTAAGTAACTATGACAAGTAAGCTTTAGCTTAGTAACAGCTAGGGGTAAACTCTAAATAAAACCCGCAGTGTGTCAACAACATGTTGATAAATACACTAAGTAACTTAAATATGACATTTGACTTTCGAGCAAGGGAGGGAGGGAAAAGCCGCGTGGCGGGCCCGTGGAGAACAGACAGACAAGACAGCCTGGAGTAAACTAAGTTGCTTCCAACGTATGCGCTAACGTATGTATGTCTTCTTCATTGGATGTGAAGTTTGGGGTCACTATGGTCACGCATTATTTTCTTTGTATTTTCCATGCACTGTACGTATGTACCCCACACATTGGGGGCCTGAGTACGGAGTACACGCGGTTAACTACGGGTGTTGGTGGATGAGGAGCATTCATATGCCCACTGCACAGCCACTACTAGAATATAGTATGGACGGATGTTAGGATCATGCGCAGACAAGCATCGTGGAGGGATATTTCATTTGCTGCGCATGAACGCCCGCTCAGATACCGACGTGGCTTTTTCCCCTATCACAAGAACATGCTGATCACTGCTGATCTGTAGAGAGTGCTACACTCCGTAATCCCGCAAAATACACTGTAAAAAGGAAAAAGTGTAAGAGGGCAAGAATAAAGGCCTCCCATGTGGCTCCTGGTCAATCAGGTCTTGTCTGACGACTCGTTCGCCGATCCCACTCCTGCGGACGCTGGGTGATCTACGGCCTCGGTTCCTTGTGCGGTAGGTGCCGCAGGGATCTCGCTTGATCGGGCACCAGAGGTCAGCTCACTAACTTGGCGTTCTATACGCCGTCAGCACGAAAGTCTAAGGACTTAAAGGCTTTTTTTTTCGAGGCTCTGTGCGCCTCAGGAGTAGTGGATGAAAGGATACGAAGGATAGTAAAGCAAAAAGGGAGGATGGGAAATCGCGCACCTAAATCGCGGATTCGCTGTCGGAGCATTTGGTTTTCGCGCGTCAGCATCGCTGCCTCCGCCTGGTAAAATGCACTTTCATCCCTGCTTCCCCGCCGGGCTGGGCTCTCACCGGGGCCTGCACTCCAATCCGGTCCCTCTGACCCGCACGACGGCTCGGCCAGCGGTCGGAGATTGGGTGAAGCGGCTTGACTAGACGGGCGGGAGGGTCGCCGGCTGGACAAGGAGGAAGGCAATTGGGTTGACGCCCGACTGCTGGTTGTGGGAAGCGGGGGAATTGGGGGGAATGGGGTCAGCCGTTCCGCAGGGCCAGAGTCATCCACGACGGCCTGCGAGTGTTGTTGTTGCTGTTGAAGGTGCTGCAGCTGAGCTTGCTGGCTTCGGATCATGTGTAAAAGACGGTTCTAGCCATTTTCAAGGAGCGCGGTTAGTGGCTATCTCTTACTCATAGTAGTGCGATAGCAAAGAAGAATGCGCCGAGCAGTGACGCAGCAATAGTTTGATCATACCACTTGTGCTTCTTGTTCTTGTTCTAGTTCCTGATGGAGCTCCCCCAGGGACGGCGCACGTTGATGATGCGGGTCCCCGGTGGCAACGGTCGGGTTCCCCCCGACATTACTGAGCGGACTGGAGGTGCGAAGCCCATTATGGCCGAAGGAAGACCGGTGGTGGTCGTGGGGGGTTGCGGACGGTTCCCCGGGGGCCGAATCATTAGCGCTGTTATGGCCATTGTTCAGGATTGAACTGGAACCGGTACGGGACCGGCGGCGTTCCGATCCTGACATGCTGGAGCGGTGACTGTGAGAGGGCCGGTGAGGCAGATCAGTGGCAATGATGTTGCTATGGTTATTTGCTGAACCGTTATTCATATTGGGCAGGGCTGCAGAAGGAAAGTCTGGCTGAGTATGCTGTGACGATGAGGGATCGGATAAAGTCGGGGGCATCCGACGTTGACGCGGGGAAGAAGTAGTGGACCAGGTCGGGGACAGAGAGTTGATATCGGGCGACATGACTTGGGGAAGCAGGTTAAAGGGAGCCGGCCAATGGATGACAGGGGGTCTGTTGACGAGGTAAGTCCCACTAAAAAGATCGAACCACCACTTTTTGGCGAGAACCGTTAACTGAACAGTGTGTCACTTGCTGCCACGGACTGGTCCAAACAATGGGTTGGTTGCAGTGGATTGCAGAGCTGGAGCCGGCGTGCCGCATTCCTGCACCTGAAGGCGGGGGGTGACTATACTAAGAAGGCGGTCAGGGTCAACCTTCAAAACTGGTCAAAGTCAGACTGACGCTTTGCTGACGGGATGATCACGGGATTCCTAGATTCGGCCTAGTTCTACGAGACACTGGATCCGGCATCAGAGTCGGTCTGGGCCGGGGAAAGCCTGGAATCGCTTCTCCCTGGAAACGGTGTTGCAAGCCGGTCCGGGTTTCGGTCATCTCCCGAATACCACTTCAACCCCCACGCACACGTGAACAGATCGATCTGAATGTTTCGGGTAATTTTTCAGTGGTTGTCAGTGGATAAAAAGCCTAAGTTGGGATCGCAGTACAATGCAATCGAACATTCTGTTGCCCCCTCCCCTTCTAAAGAATGCTTGCTGGGGCATGAGAGTCCCTGCAGAGAGAACCCGACTCACCGGGCTGTAGTTTGTACACTCAACAGTCAAATTTGTCTGCTTACCAGGGGATCATCCGCCACACCATCTTGGCGTCAAGTCTTAGACAAACCTTGAGAGTGGGAAGGCGGCACTATCCGACCATACAGAGCCACCAGGACAAAATGGCCTCGGTGCTAGGCTCTTGGTATAGTAGTAGTACTTTGTACTCCATGTCCCGACAATCGGACCCTTCCAGAGGGTGCTACTGCTTCCTGGCTAAGTAGGCTGGAATCCTTCAACATTCCTGGTTTATTCAAAATTTTACATAACAGCTGTAGCAACAGCCTATGGTTGGTTGTTGCTTCGTATCGGTGCCGACTACCAAAATTGTTTTGTGCTTCATTGAAGTTGACCTCGCCATCTCCACCTACGAGACACTAGCCAGGGGTCAATCCAATTATCTATGTGAGACCGGGAGGTTCGACCACCCTGTTGGTGGCGGAATGGTGATCACAAATTCGTGTATTAACAGTCCTAGTGGAAGTCTTGAGGCTTTGCTTGCTGAAAGCCTGTGTATTGCCGCTTGGCTTATGTGATGGCGCTCGATCAACGACGGGTTTCGATACAGCCTTCTGGAAAGTAGGGGAAACGTGATCATTAACTGCTTATTTCCCCCTACATGTTCAGATGCATTAGCATGACCACATCGACGACCATCGAAACAGTCAATGACGGTATTGAAGGAACACAAACCCCCAGGACTTGAATAAGCCGATGACACACTTGTAATACATGAAAGAAAAAAAAGCATTGCGGGCGCCGATCGCCTTGGTCAGGGAAGGCTTGACGTCACCCCCGGCTACCCCGAGACCAGCTAATCCAACCCCGTGGGAAATGCGATGAGGGAAAACTGGGTCCAACATGGAAAGCGGAACACAGACCAATGCTGTGGCTTCCTGTTCTTGCAGCCCACCCTCCCCCCCGGACTCCAAAACCCGGACAGGAACACTAGCAGAATTTAGCGTATATCTTCTGTTGTAATTTTTTCTTTTCTCATGGTTGTCAGCTTTCATGACCCATCTGCTCGGGAAGCCACGCAGTCATGTACAGCGCCCATGGCCACCTGGAGACCCCGGCCCCTTGCGTGGGCACACCTTTTACGCCCGCATTATTGACAGGCTAGACCTTCTCGGCCTATCCAGGGCGCCTTTTCCATAAATTGTAGAGTCTGGCGCACAAAGTCTAAAGTGCAGTTTTCTCAACATAACTCGCAATCTCTCACCGTAGGAAAAAGTCCTCCCGCACCCGTGTCGTGGCAGGCTTCCCCGAAACGGGCATTCTAGAGACCATAGTCCTATCGGCCCAGAACGGCTCCAGTGGGAGTAATGAATATCGACAACCAACGAAGTGGGGAAGCCGTGGTGGTCGCGCCGACCACTCCTGGCTCTGGAAACTCAACCGGTTTCCCCCCAGAGGTCAGGCGATGAGTGATTAAGGAATGATGTTAAGGACGGAGTTAAGCACGATGGATCCGTCCATCAGCATCGCCCCAGAGCTATCTGGAAAATGACTGGCCGTGTCAGTGTGGCAAGTGGGCTCTTCGGAGTCTGGTTTAGGTGGTATGTAGTACCTAACAAGCCGGTCCTGATTCGGCAGGCCAAATGCATCATCATTCGGCCCTAACCGTGTGCGGCCGGCTACTTGGCCAGAGACGACCGATACCCAACACCCCATCTGGGAAACATGCATCCAATCTCCCCTAATTTGAGTTATGCCAGTCCTGTCAAGAATTCATGCGAGTGCTATTATCATTATTACAAGCCACAGAGACCAGGCCTTAATAATGGTGAGTGGCAAAGTAGAAAGGGGGCAGAAGGCTGAAGTTGCAGCAAGCAAGAAAAAAGTGTAAATTGGACATAAAGGCCAAAGTGAATTAATTCCCCATGCCCCGAGTCATCGGAGACGCCTGGACCGACTGAACTCTAAATGTACGATCCCCGGCTCCTATTGGAGAGGAATGGGAAAACTGGTGGGTTGATATATGGCAGAGTCATTCCTGCAGTGCTTGCCCGTGCGATCCATGGGTGTTGCGGTAACATCACCCACTTCTTCCCCAAATACGACTGGTTACTGGGATATAAGTACCGTGATAGAACCCCATCGCGGTTGCCTTTTCTGGGGTACTTTCCTGAAATAGTAGTTTTGATACTAGTCCCATGTAGGCCTGTTCTTTTTCTCCAGTCCTCCTGCGCTCTTTCCCTTTCTGGCCTAACCCAACAACCGTCATCTACTGCTTGTGATTACTTCTACTTCTACTTCTTCCTCCCTCTCCACCCGCTCCTGCTCTTTTCTTCCTTCTCCTTCCTATACTTATTTCCCTGTCTTTCCCTTAACAGGAACTTCTCGGTGCTCCTTCCTCCCCTCCAGCGATTTGCTATTCCCATCCTCACTTGCTCGCCTTGATTGCCTGGTCTTCTCTATCTTTATTCAGTCTGGGTCGGCTGTAAGTACATGCTATTCATACACAAATGTGACCATCGCATGATGGCGTGAACCTACAAGCGTCTCTGCGCTTCATGCTTCGCTTTCTTTTTCCAATATTTTCACAGTTTACATTCCTTCCAATCAAACACCATGCAGCGACTAATTCGGTACGTTACAGTGCGCATCATGGCTTCTCGCCCAGACAGAGACATGAGTAATCATGAAAAGATTCATGAGTCAGAAGCTTCGTCTTCTACTCAAACCGACACCATTCTTGATCCAGCAACCGAAAAGGCTCTGGAACAGCAGCAAAAGTCTCAACCGCTTCCATCAGACCCCAACGCTGGAACTACTCTACACCAATTGGAGAATGCCGCGTCCGAAAAGGTCGAGCTGACTGAGGAAGACTGCTACGACCAACTCGGCTATGCCTTTCCCAACTGGAAGAAATGGATGATCATTTCCGTGATCTTTCTTGTCCAAACATCAATGAACTTTAATACCAGTCTCTACTCCAACGCTCTCACCGGTATATCCGAAGAATTCGGAGTCAGCATGCAAGCTGCTCGGTGTGGTGCCATGATTTTCTTGGTTCTCTACGCCTTTGGTTGCGAGCTTTGGGCACCATGGAGTGAGGAACTGGGACGGAAGCCGATCTTACAGCTCAGTCTGTTCCTTGTGAACATTTGGCAACTCCCCGTTGCTCTCGCCCCCAATTTTGCATCTATCATGGTAGGACGTGCTCTGGGAGGTCTTAGCTCAGCTGGTGGCTCAGTTACTCTGGGTATGATTGCAGACCTTTGGGAAGCAGATGACCAGCAGTATGCTGTCGCCTGCGTGGTATTTTCTTCAGTGGGTGGCTCAGTGATTGGACCAGTTGTTGGAGGTTTTGTGGAAGCATATCTGCCGTGGCGCTGGAACATCTGGATTCAGCTCATATTTGGGGGTTTCGTGCAGGTAGCGCACTTGCTTTTGGTACCTGAGACCCGGACAACTATTATGATGGACCGTATCGCAAAGAAGCGAAGGGAAAGCGGCGAAGACCCCAATATTTATGGACCAAACGAGCTGGTCCCTTTCAAGGACCGCTTCTCGATGCACGAAGTCCTCATCACCTGGATCCGCCCCTTTAAGATGTTCTTGACGGAGCCGATTGTCCTCACTCTATCTCTGCTGAGTGGTTTCAGTGATGCCCTGATCTTCATGTTCATTCAGTCGTTCAGCCTTGTGTACGACCAGTGGGGTTTCGGCACCGTGGAGCTAGGCCTGTCGTTCCTTCCCATTCTCGTGGGCTACTTTATCGCATGGGGCGCTTTCATCCCAGTCATCAAAAGAAACATTGAGGAGCGGCGCAGGAAGCCTGACGATGAGCGGGCTCAGTACGAATCTCGACTTTGGTTCCTTCTCTATACTGCACCCTGCTTGCCTATTGGCTTGATCGGTTTTGCGTGGACCAGTTTGGGACCCCCTGTCCACTGGATTGGAAGCATGGTGTTCTCTGCCATCGTCGGTATTGCCAACTACAGCATCTACATGGCCACTATCGATTACATGATCTGCGCATACGGACCGTACTCGGCTTCCGCAACTGGCGGCAACGGATGGTCTCGAGACTTTTTGGCTGGTGTGCTCACCATCCCTGCTACACCATTCTTTGAAAGTAAGTAACAATAATAACGTCGCAGTTTATATGGGATTCTAACAAATGACTTTAGACATTGGCGGGAAATACCACCTGGAATACGCGTCTACCATTCTATGTGAGTCTTATCATTGATGTGCCCTGCGTCTGGGTATATGGGACACTAACGGCCTTTCCTCCAGTCTGTATCTCTTTCCTCCTGGTCATTGCAGTATACGTCATCTACTGGTACGGACCAACACTCCGCAAGCGGTCGCCATTTGCCCAGCAGCTGTCCGATGCGAGAGTCGAGCTTCAGACTCACGGGCGACGGCTGTCTAAGATTCCTTCCGGTTCAAGGGCAAATTCCTTTGCACGCTCGCAACAGAACCTGCGCATTCGTCATACGCTTGGGAGTCGTCCTGGAAGCTACATAGCATCCCGCCCAGCGTCGAACGTCAACTCCCGTGTCAACTCACGGAGAAACAGTCTTTCTCGCTGAGCTCTTATGCCGAATTTGTTACGCATGCGACATGAGCCGCTCGGATACATTTTTACGATGTCACTGAGACGATTAATGAGCGTTGATACCAATCATGGCCGATGCCTTTGCAGGGCAATAACGTTGTTTGCTTTACTCTTTACCATCCACGGACCTGTCCCTCATATATTCTGTCCGAAAACGGTTGGGCCTACAATACCGAATAGTATATGCGCAACATTCATTTTCAGCTCTAGGCAAGGCGATGGCTCGGGAAGTAATGAGAGACGTATTAGCTCTGCTTTGCTTTTTGGAACATGTACTAGTACTAGGTTAGCTTTGTACTGCTTGGGCTGTCTTGGTTAGCTGTTGCCATTTCTGGCTGGCTCGAACATGTAGCTATGAGCTTTTGCAGGCTCGGCCGTTCGCGGTCTCACACTCGAAGAAATCCTAGATCGGGGTTTCTCTTTTTCCTGGGACAATCAAGAAATAAAAAGATACCATTGGAAACCATTTAATATTCAAAGTATAAAATCCCATAAACCTATACCGGTCCCGCACGATCGCGACAGAGATAAGGATCGGTGGGATGCAACTAGACGGTGCAACCAAGCGGGAGCAGAACCATGGAGGACCAAGTCAAGCAGTACCGAACCGATTCAGATGGCGGTCATCTGCAATGACCGAACCATGCCGATGGTTGGAATGTGGAGACACCGACCTTGCATCTGGATCCGGACGGGAGCATCGGATTCGGCAGTCTCGGAATACCCTCCCCCGATCCCTGGGATGGATACCAAAAGCCAGCCATGGATGGATACCTCTTACAGCGCTTGGCTAATTGTCGACATGGTCTAGCTCGATGCTATCATCTTACCGGACCCGAGTGTAGTGGCACTGGTACTTCTGTGCTTTGCTTCTCGCCGTCTGAAAGATCAGACTCCTCACTGATTCTCATGCATTGATTGATGCAGGTACGCCTGCGGGAGATCTACAGGCCCTTGGGGAATCACATGTTTCCGCCATCTGGAGTTTTGAAACATCCGTCGGCTTTTCTAGAATGAATCGATGTGGTGCCCCGTCGAACGGGGTGGATGGGTCCTTCGGGTGGTATTGCCGAGGATGTAAGGGAATTGGTTGTCATCTTCCTATTGAATGGCTCAAGGGATTTCGATGCTTTTAATGGCTCTCTTTATCTATAAGGGTGTTTAGGACTGCTTTTCCTAAGCGAGATATTCTTGACCAGAGAATTCTCGCGATGCTTGTTGGTCTTGACAAGAACGTACTGTATCTGGTCTCATCATGGTATATGCTCCAGGGTTTAGCGAGCCAAACGCTGGCATTGTGCTCAACATCTAATTATAGAGAATAGTGCAGGAAGCAGGAGGCTGACTTGAGATAATCGATGTACCAAGCAGGGGGTTCCTGTGGTCAGTTATGAAATTATTCATCGACCAGCGCATTGTGGCGAAAGAGCACTTCACGGCGGATGCAGGCGATTCGCTTGCCGCGGGAGATCGACCCGTCCGCAGCCACCCCCAGTCACGTGCCCCATACGGTCGGTGGCCGCGGAGCGATGCTTAGTGAGAGCTGCTGCTGCGATAACTCGACGGCGCCAGCTATGCAGATAGTCTGATCTACCCTTCTCTACCACCGCTCAGCATGGACCACGTATCTAGGGCAATTCAGCAGCCCCGAGTGGTGGTCACTCGCCTCCAGCGTTACTGCTTTCGCCGCAATTACCATCTACGACCCTCCTTTTCTCGCGTTATCCCTCCCTTCTCCCACCGCCTCGGACCTCGTGCTGCGGCGACCACTTTCAACGCCGACACCTCCAACCTCCCCAACACCATCCCTTCATATCGGATAGCTTTGCGCCGCCACGCCTCGACGATGGCGGACCCACAGTTTGCAGAGGGGACCAACCCCGAACAGGCGCGCCAGGGATTGCAGACGCTGCAGGAACAGGGATGGGTGCTGGATGAGGACGGACAGGGCTTGAAGAAGACCTTCTATTTCAAGTCGTACTTCAAGGCGGTGGTATGTTGGCCCCCTCATCCTCCCCCTGTTTTCCGCCCCTCCCTTCGATGTGTTAGATATGATATGGGCGCAAGGTGATCTGACCGATTTGGGATTGATTTGCAGAGCTTTGTCAACGTGGTCGCATCGCAGAGTTCGACCAAGAAGCACCATCCTACCATGACTGTGGTAAGTATGACTCATCACAGGGAGAAAAAAAAAAGGGGGGGCGTGAAGTGAAATGGTTATGATTGAGGCTGATTTGGAATCATCCTAGAGAATCGGATCGGTCGATATCCACTGGACTACCCACCATCCTCGGGGCTTAAGTGAGAAGGACTTGGAAATGGCGCAGCATTGCGACGAGGCAGCGGAGTTGATGGGGTCGGTGGAACAAGGACAGGGGAAAAAGTGCTCTCCGGGTCGAGACTAATCCGAATCCCCATTGTTGGATGGAATGGGAATGGGGGAGTTGTGTGGCGTAAGGAGCTGAGGGGAGATTCATGTTAATATGGAGTGTGATTGATTGGTATTTATTAGTGACTTGCCAGCGGAATATTCCCATGATAGCCAAATTGATTAAAATGATTGATTATCATCTAATTTATTATTCAAACAATCCGAACAAGGGAGGGGAGAGAGGAGGAGGGGGGGGGTTACCTCTTAGTCAGCGCTTATGTTCCTCGTGGACAATAAACAAAAAAAGGCGTAGTTCAACAATCAATCCAATCCAGCCTGTCAGCCAAGCTACTTTTGTACTAAGTCTAGTCGAACTTTCAGCTGAGAAAAATGGCTGGAATGTGCCACTCTTGTGCCTGTTTTCGGGTCAGGCCATCATCCAACCAGATGCCGACCCGAATTGTGAAGAACAAAAAAAAAAAACCACAACCAACTCAACTTATACTACCGACATCTAATCTGACACGGACATCCTGTCACTCTGCAGGTAAGCATTTCTCCATTCCTCCATCCTCCCCCCTCTCTTCTCCAATGTTTTCAATTGATGTGTTCATCATCCGGAGAAAATCAAACACGACTAAACAGATTCCACCCCCTCTTTGAGGCCTCTAGTTCGCTCATCAACCGACAACCGTTGCCCGGAAAGTGGGGACCGTAAGGTTTGGCTCAGTTCAGGGGCATCAACATGACTCTCCAATTTCATAATGGATTCTCTCCCCCGAGGGAGGAGTGGATAATGGGTGGCGGGAGAGATGCAGGTCGCGCATTTACATCACATACTATCTGGTATGTTTTTTGTGCGAATCTATTCTACTCCATACGATCTCATCTCTCTCCCTCCCTCCTTCTCTCTCTCCAGCCCATCCCCAGCTCAGCCAAACCCCCTCCCCTCCACTCAGGGGGTTCGCTTGCGCGCGCAGACCGTTTCAGATCTGCTTGTCATCACCACTAGCCCTCTAGTCGCTGGCTAGGCCCGACGGGGCAGGTTCTATGGACGGGCAATCAATAATCTAATTTAAATCCCAGAAACTTTGCGCTGCTGGCCTGCCTGGAGCCTGTTTCGTCTTGTTTCGCGTTGGTCCGTTTTTTTCTTTTGTCACACTTCCATCTCCTCCTTCTCACTTTTTCTCGTTCACACAATCACGCTCATACACATAACTACTACTATTACTACTTCTTCTTCAATTCTTCTTCTCTCTTTCGCTCCCTGGGTCTTTTCGCAATCTATCAATTACGGGCTCTCCACACTCCTATTGCCGACTATGACGTGTATTTGACTCCCAATCTCTTTCCCTGGTTTGGTTGTCTGTTGATCCCACACGGCCACTTCGTCACTCCCTGTCGCGCACGCCCCAAGACAAGACCTCGAGTTCAATTCGTACTCGCCGTCCACCACGGATTCACATCGGGTGCAATATACCACGCCTATCCGAGATTTTTTCCTCTACAAACAACTTTTTGCTGTGCCCTACACGGTCGGACGGACATGATCTATGCTTGAGTTATCATCGTCAGCTTGCGATGACACTTTTCTTGTTTTCAAGCACCATAATCTTTCCTTATCGATCAATGAGGCACTCATTGGTAGCACCATTCTTTTATCTATCCATTCGTTAATTATACCCAATCTTGCTGCGATCAATTGATGCGCGTGATTTTGTTTACTATATACCCTTCCCAACCTATTCTAGACAGCAGGCATTCCGAGGTCCGCCTTCAGGACATACAGTGGAGGTCTGACCAAGGATGACGTTGGATATTCACTCCCCTCAACAATCGGTCAGCGAGCGCAGAGGCCAGCAATTGGCCCCTCTACAGACCAACTTCAGTCGCCCAACCGCACGTCCAGTGGAGGTTCCACCCGGCAGACCACAGCGTCCACGGCCCACGGACTTCCAGGGTGATGCGGAGACAGGTGAAAGAGTCCCATTGCAGGCCACACCGGTTAAGCGCCAAACATCCAAGTCCAGTCTGCGGAACATCTTCGGGCGCGACAAGTCTTCCCGGAAACAACCCAGCGACGCTAAGCTCACGGGCATTGATGAATTGCAGCAGCAAAGCACACAACCTGCAGCCGAAACAGCTCCGGTGAACCAATCACCCACAGCTGTTGCCACACCGAAGACTACCGTTTCGACAGCTACACTCCCCACCTCGCCGATAACGACAGCATCTCAACGGTCCAGGCTTCCCTCCAAGTCCCGTGCGAAAACGGGTGACGAGAAGCCTGCTGCGGGCGAGATAGGATGGAAACCACCACCACTCTTTCAGGCGTATCCACAGGCAATCAAGCATGACACTCTCCCTGTACCCGTCATGTCGGTGGATTCCATCATGCGCATGCATGCCACCTCGAAGGCAAAAGCTGGTGCTCGTGAAGAAGAGCCTGCTAACGGAGAATCGGCGGAGGATGGCGCGGCTCGGAAGAAAAAGGAAGACAAGGAGAGGAAACGACACATGCGCACTCTCTCCGAAACAATGAATAAAGCAGACTGGACCCAAAAAGTCTATGTGCTGGCCACCGCTGGTTATATCTTACAGTATTCCGGCTCCGGTAAATACGACAGGCTGCCGGAGAAAATGCTGCAGCTCGGTCCTCGAACTGTAGCCTTTGCTAGCGATGCGATTCCTGGGAAGCATTGGGTGCTGCAGGTATCACACACTGACGAAGACGGCACGGATTCAACTAAGCCCTCCCGGTTTCGCTTCGGGTTTCATAGGTCTCCATCTCGACGGCTTGAGCGTTGCTTCCTTCTAGTGTTCGACCACCCCGAGGATATGAGCTCTTGGCTCCTGGCCGTTCGGGCTCAGATCGAAGCACGAGGAGGCAAGAAGTATGTTTCAGAAAAGGCAGCCGACGACGGGGAAGAGCCCCAGCTTCAGACTAAGCCCAGTATCCGCCAAATGGTGACCAAAGATCCAAACCGGTTTTCTATGCTACTAAAACCTCAGCAATCTGTGTCTGAGGAAGACAAGGACACCAGTGTCAGCGTTAGCGACCAATCCCGCCGGAGCTCATACGTCTCTCTCAATCGCCGGTCGATAGTCATGCCCGCCGCATCAGAATCCCGCTCGGGCTCTATATCCACCACACATACCGAAATAACATCTCCTGTGAGCGGTACGGGACGATTCTACTCGTCCATTCCTAGCGCAAGTGTCCCCAATTCTCCACCCAACGGCGGTATGGTCGCAGCGTCTTTGGACGGCACAGCAAGTCCAAGCGTCAAAAGCTCAACGAAGCGTCGATCGTTGAATATATCGTCTCCATCAACGATCAAGACCGCTGCTGAGATGGCTGCAGAGATCCCACGAGCACAATCGACACAGCCGGATCCTGTGCTCCGCAGCACCTCCCCGCCCGCACCAAACTTCAGTGTGCCGTCTTTTAGCAAGAGATTCACTGCCCGATTTGGCCCACTCCAAGTCCCCCAGGTCTCTCAACTTCCTACAGCGGTGGAGGACACAAGCAGCAAAAGTACAGTTACTGCGCTTTCCGCGTTTCCTTCTCCACCCCAATCTCCAGGCAAGGTTCCGAACGGCTTCCTGCCGGAGGAGCCCAGCGAGGAGCAGCAACAACAACAACAACAACAACAACCGCAAGAGCCGGAGCCGCAACCAAAGAAGCCGTGGCCACTCCATGCAGGTCAGCCTAAAAGACCACCATTGCGCGTTTCCACTTCCCAAGACTCGCTAGCGGAAAATCAACGTATAGCGGACCCCAGAGGCAACCGTCTCTCTCGCATGCCTCGGAGCATACAACCCAACATGGCAGCCCCAGTGCCGCGGCCCACGACTGCAGTCGGCGGAGGGCCAAACATGTTGCACGTGGGTTCAGACACACGTCGTGATCAGCAACGGACCAGAGGGTCTGTTATGTACCAACCAGATCCAAATTCCCGTCTGCCGCCAGTAGCCATGGGTCGCCGGAAGAGCATGCCAGGGCTGATCGGACCGCCAGCTGCACCACCGCCCAACTGTCCACTACCTAAAATCCCATCTCCAGTCGACCCACAGTCGACCAACTGGGGTGATGCACACGCCGACCTGCGACAGTGCATCTCGCCTCCCCCGCTCCAGACTATCCGGGAACAGCGCAAGAGTTCCGCTCCAGTTCCCGCCGGCTATGGCATGCAAAGTCGAAGCGTGTCCCGGCAGTCCAGAATGCCGCAAATATAATCAATCAGCCTCTAATCACTCCTTACTATACATACATTCACCCATTCGCATGATGAACCCTGCATGCCTTGTACATGTTCATCCTATCCTATTTCTGCCCATGATGCTTCCACGTCGCCACGGCACGACTTCTTTCCGTCCGTCGACTTTGACAGTCGACGATGTCGATCATCGTATCATTACATAGCGATCCAGCGTTTTTCTATCTTCTACTCATTTTCCAGATATACTCCCTTATATTATACATCCTGATACCATTCGTGAATGTACTGGCACACATGTCGACTTTTTACTATCTATTACCCACACGCTACTGCTATTACTACTCCTACTGCTACTATTTCCTTTCATGTGTTACTCTTACCCAAAACGATAGACGTGGTGACTCTGTTTTGTGTGATTCATTCGATATTTACTTCACAAGTTGTATTCTATTCTATTTTGATCATATACAGGCTGCTATACAGTGATTCCAGAGCGAATATACTAGTGATTAATACAATATGGGATTTACTATTCAGGACTCCAACAACTCTCTCTTTCTAGAACGCCGCCATTGATTAGCAGCACAAATTCACCTGGCACCCCTAATCAATCTACCATTTTTCATGGATATTCTTCAAGAAGCGATCAAGTAGTATAACCAAGTATCCATCAACAAGCATTAACTACTCTGAATTCTCGATCCATCTACCTCCGGCAACTACGTAAATGATGTTATGTTGTACACAGACATACACAGCAAAAGGGAAACGAAACGGCCCGGCCCGTTATTGGTGTCGAGAATCCCGAGAATCATCCGCCTTGGCTCCGAGGAGGGAGGGGATGGTATTATGTAATGGGTTATTTTATAACAAGATGATGATGATCATATTTTTTTTTTTCAACTTAGTTGAGATAATTGAAAGGAAAGAGAGGAATTAATACTTGTAGTATGGATTTGTTTACTTATTATATATATGAGTGTGTGATGTCCTATACTATTACTAGGTATTGTTTAGTTGGTAGACAGTAAGTTTATTATGCAGAACTTCTATCTATATGATCAATCAGTCACTGTCGGGATTAATCGGTTACTGGTACTGGCACTGAGTTAGAACTAGTAGCTGGTAGATAGTATGGTGTGGTGGTGAGTACTACTACTACTACTACTACTACTACTACTACTACTACTACTATCTTCACTGAATATGCAGCGGAGGTTTAGGAGTTTATATTATGATTTCCATGACAGTGTATCACTACGCGCATGCCGGGCATGCACATTATATTTTTGTGCCAACAGTAGGAAATGATCTTATCATGTGCTAGCAAGCTGTAAACCCAAAACCCGGATACCCCTAACCAAACTAAGCAACAATGGGGAACGAGAAAATGCGACCGAGGTGTAAAGCGAGGACGTGCAAGAGTTACCGTACAGAACTGAAAGGATAAGATGGGATATGATTAGAAGCAAGAGATTACCATGAAAGGTTGTATCTCCCACACACGTAGGAAGAAGAAGGCTCAATGGATTTCCGCAGTCAATTGTATAGAATCAAGTTACATCGATTACTCTTCGGTGACTTCCTCCACGCGCGGCGCAAGGTCTCGCTTTACAGTGCTTGAGGTATCCGGGGCTGCTGTTGCTGTTGTGGTGGCGGACGGAGTGGATTGGGCTGCGGCTTGAGGTTCCTCGCCTCCTGCGTTCTTGGACTTCTTGGACTTTTTCTTCTTGGTCTGAAAATGGTGGTTAGAGATTGTCTTTCTTTCTGCGGTGCCATGGTAGGTTAGCTTACCTCTTGCCAGCCCCACAGGGGCTTGAAACTATCCACGAATCCGACATCTTCGAATAGGTTGGGGAACAGCCATAGACCAGGGGGAACCGCAATGACTGTGATGCAGAACAGAATAAGACGGAAAATGGACATGGCGAAGAACAATCCCAGCAGACCCATCATGCCCACACTCAGGTACCAGACACCCTGGCGCAGCATCATCGGCCACAGGGGGAACAGCACCACCGCGAAGATTCCTGCTACTACAGCCGCGGCCATGACCTTCTGCTTCCACTGCGGACCTTCCCAAAGCCAGACATAGTGCATCATAGGATCGGTTTCTTGGTGCTGCTCAATGCGCACCGTCCACAATCCCTTGACACGGTTCTTGGACTTGCCGTGGTTGTGGCCCGCATGGGGGTCGACCTTCGTCACGCGCAGAGCAAGAAGGGACAGGGGAAGAAGCTTGAAGACGTTCTCTGCAGATGCGCGGTCGGTGACTGGAGGAAGAAGAGAGTTCTTTTTGGCAGCCGCCTTGGCGTAAGCTGGGGACTCGATGGCCCGAATGGCACGTTTCACTGGTATTTATGAGTATCTTCCGGGCACGTATAATGATGAAGAGTGTATACCTTTGAACATCTCCTTCCGCTGTCCATCCATGATACATGTCCGTGTCTTTAGGTTCTGCGACCGCAGGAACGCGGCAACGGCGAGCGCCTTCGGATCAGGAGGGTTGTTAGGGTTCACAGGAACCTGACGGGTCACCTGCTGGGGTTGAGGTTGTTGGGGTGCTGGCAGGTTCTGTCCTGGTTGGGCTGGCGATTGAGGAGGTGCTTGCCCTTGCCCTTGGGGCTGCTGGCCCTGCGCTTGGGCTTGAGCAGCTTGTCGTTGGGCCTCGACTTGTCTCTGGTGAGCGGCAAGAGCTCGCATTCTCAGCTGAGTGACATATTGTTCGGTTGTCATTCCGTGCTTGGCTGCCTCTGCAGTGAGCTGTTCGCGCTGCTGTTTGGCAAATTCCTCGGGGGTCATTCCGCGCCTAGCAGCTTCGGCGGCGAACTGCTGTTGCATGGCCGCAATCTGCTGGGGGGACGGCTGGCCGGGCGCCGCCATGGTGAAGGAGTGTGTAGTTTTTTTATATATAAAAACTAGAACGGTTCCGGAAGAAAAGAAATGCAAGAGCGCACAGCGCAGTGACTTGCAGAAACCGAGTGGACGTTTCGGGTGGGCGATGGATGAGATGGCAGGTAAGTTGGCGGGAGATGAAAAGGCCAGATGGTGTTCCAGTTGCCCTTCCACTTGCGCCGTCAGGGTCCCGGTCGCCGTCCACCGCCTTCTTCTCCGCACTCCGTTCTGCTTCCATTCACCCACTCGGCGCATCCATCTCCCCTCACGTTCATCATCTCCATTCACTCTATCAGGCAACTTCACGCAGACTCCACTCCTTTTTGACTAATGTGATTCGAGTTTCGGTGTGCTGCCTGCAGCTCGCAGCCCCATGTCCTTGAGCTTCTCCTCAGATGTCGCCTTGAATGCAACGGAGGCGGCCGTCTTCCTGGTAAGTTGCGCGCAATCATGCGCAAATGCGCTTATACAGTAGGTTCATTCCGCTTACGGACATCTTCCAGAGCGAAAGAGATGTAGCTGGCCAGATTCCAATCAACTTCGTCAGCACATCCGCCGTATCACTTCGCGCGGCATGTTTTGGCGACAATGTCTACGACCGGGATGCAGCGGGCAAGTGCATCTCCAACTTACTAGTTGTCGGATACCGCCGCTTTCTCGTCGACCTTTACTGGTCGTCTGACCAACGGGATTGGATGCTCTGCCCGCTGTCGCTCTCCCCGGATGTCCCCGTTGTGACTGTGTCGTCGATATCGCCTACTTCTTCGACAACGACAACTGCGACGAGTGGAATAACCGCAATGACGACCGCAACGACTACAACAACGACAACGAGCGAAACAATCAAAGCCACTGTCACTGCGGTAGCCAGATCGTCGGGCTCGGTCTTGTATGAAATGGGTCCGTACCGCTGTTCTATGGATCTCGACCTGTCCGACCTGATCAATGTGTTCCGGGGTTTCTTCCAGGCGTATACCTCCGAGCTGACCGTGTATACGAGATACATCTCTCTTAATCTGCATGCGGCTGGGAGCGCAACTAGCCCCAACGAAGCAGCATCGACTGTGACTGGATCACAACTACCCACAGGCTCCGAATCTGTCAGCTATCTCTTTGATGAACATCTGTCCTCCTACATATACACGCCGTCAACCCTCGCTTCCGAGCGCGCCAACCTGAATCAATCATGGTACCAGGTTGAAGACAGCTACAAGCCCATCACCGAGTACTTCACAATCCATGAGGACTCGAACGGCGACCAAAGTACACCCGATGGCTGGCCATGCGTGAAGTACCTTCAGCTAGCGCAAGAGAAGCGCCTCCTCATTGACTACGGGACCATCGACTCCCAACTGCAAGACTACAACTTGTCCTACATGAGTGACGTTATCTTTCCCTCCAACTATCTCACTTCAACGGTATCCGTAACTCTTGATTCCGACGGAAGCGTCGACACTGGCTGTTTCTATGATCCCGACGCGACTACCGTATCCCAGGCCAACAACTCCTGGGCCATATCCGACTACATCCCCATACCAGAAGGATTAAGCCAAAACTCGACAATCGCAGCAATGTCCCTCGTGGCCTCCAACCTAACCGCATGCGGCCTCACCCCAACACTTAACGACACCTTCTTCAACAAAACCGCCGACACCGACCCCGAACCCTACACAGAGATCTCCCTCTCCAGCTCCTGGGCCTGGTCCATCGGCCAACCCGCCAACGCTGACTCATCCTCCGCCAGCTTCAGCACCACAGACCGCTGCGCTGTCATGGATATAACATACAGCGGCCACTGGCGCGCCATCAACTGCAGCCAAGTCCGCTACGCTGCATGTCGCGTCGGAAACAACCCCTTCACGTGGCAACTATCCCCAGCGCCATACACCTTCCGAGACGCCTACGATCATGGCTGTCCTGAGAACACCAGCTTCGCCGTCCCACGCACCGGTCTCGAAAACACCTATCTGTACCAGTACCTGCTGACACGGACGGACGTTCTCGACCCAACCTCTGCATTCCCGAACAAGACCAAGGTCTGGTTAGATATGAATTGCATCGATGTGGAGTCTTGTTGGGTAACGGGGGGTCCTGATCAGGAGTGTCCGTATGCGTCGGATCCGCAGCAGCTGGAGAGACGGACCGTGTTGGTGGCTGCTATTGCTGGGATTGTGATTTGTATTATTGCTGCTTTGACGCTGTTTGTCAAATGTAATGCCAACCGGCGCAATTCGAGGAGGAATAAGAGGGTGATCAAGGGATGGGAATATGAAGGGGTGCCTTCGTAGTCTGGTATGATGATTGTTCATTGTATATTGTATATTATAGCTGTATATAATCTCCGAATTCGGAAAAAATCATAAGTTACTAGGAACATGAAAATTTGCAATATTCAGTTTGAATGGTATGCTAAGCTACTACGTGATTGTCTACAGTAAAAACAGTGGGGAGTATCACCAATAAAAAAAAACATAAAAATCACATCAGTTATCGTCAAGAGATTCTCATGTCCAACATGTGCAAACCATACCCATATGCCTCATAAATTCAATGAAAAGAAGACGTATCCAGTCTTCGAACAGTTATAGATGCTTTTTCTTTTTTTTTGCGTGTTCTACTCCGAG